GTATTACTCAGGCTCCAATCTGTGAAATTCGCCGAGTTACGAGCCTACAAATACACCTCCTCATGAATTTTGCCCAAATTGTAAAGATCGCATATCTCGTCGAAATTCCTCCGCGAGCGCTTGTATTAGGTCATTCGGAAAGTTTTTTCGTTTTTGCACCTCCAAATTCAAACGAGCACAATTTTTCCCTGATTCAGCCTTTTTCCATCAAATAAACTGCATTGTGTTCAGCAAATTTCTGGTTATACTCTTATAGTGCTCTTGTGCTTTTCTCTTGCGGAATGATCCCAGAGGAATCACTAAAGCCTGAAAAGGCGTTTTTGATTAGTCAATCTCTATTAGGTCCTATTGTTTTTTAATAGGCACCGAGGAATTGGAAAATTCGGTGACTGGTAAAGGAAGGTCTAAAGAGTTTGAAAAATAAACAGGAACCTCGGTGCGCAGTCAACCTCTTTTGTGAGAGCAACTTTTCTTACATGTGGTTTGGCGGAGTCATGAGCGTGGATGGCATCTCTCATAGCTTATACGTGCAAGTCCTCCCAGTTTTGAAATTTTGACAAACAGTCTTCAGAACGACATCACAAAATGTCCGTCGCTCTTATAGTATGTCCTAATTTGTACTTGAAATTCTTTTTGAGACATGAAAGAGCATGAACGATGCGACAATTTTCCTTCTTCAGCCGGCTTGTCGCGTGCTAACGTTCGGGTTAGCAGCCTGACGCTGGAACAACCACTCATGATGACCGAAAGATTGTGAGTAGAATTGAGACAAAGAGTAGCAGACCCCGTGAGGGAACATTGCAAGGATAAAAAAAAAGTCTTCAGAACGACATCACACTACTCTGCTCTTACAGTACAATAGCATTTTAGCAAGTTTATAGCGTACAAGACCAGCAGGATTACATTAATTTGAGTGCATCAACCTCTTGGAATGACAGATTGTTCTGGTCATGCTTTCAATGCTTATTCCAAATGATTTACCACATTGTCGCTTCTCATTGCCGCACTTAGTCAATTTTTTGCTGTAATTAATAACTCAGGCTGGAAAAGGATTGCTACATAAAATTATGAGCGACGAAAGCAGACTCAACGCGCCCTCAAACTGCGATTGCGACAATTTGTGGGTACATGTCACTGAAATTTTTCGGTATTGCAGCTTTAGCGAAGGTGGCTCCTAATAAGGTTATATGACACTTCAGGGCCTGCTGATAATTTTACGCAGCTATTATTGCGATTTAAAGGACCCTCTGAGATGCTCGTTTATATGACAGAAACAACTTCCAGGACACTGCAAAATATTAGCTTTCACTTCTTTAGATCTGAACTTTCTGAAGTAAACTTGAACCTACCTCAAAAAAGACGTGGTCTTGGCAAATGCATTGCGCACAATGATGGTTTCTTCAACGGTCTTACACTCAAATTTGAGCTTAGAGAATACAATTATTCGATAATCGCGTTTTCGTATGTCGAATTTAGAGCCGCACTTCCCTACAAAGCGTCTTCTGCAATTTCGGTGGGATCCCAGAAACTAGAAGACTTCCTCTACATATCCATATATGGCAACCCTTAACAGCCCCCTGACACCCTCTTAAAATATGGTATCAACATCAAAGGCGCAAAAAGGAAAAACTATCCGAATGACCTAATACAATGCGCTGATCAAATCTTTCCATATTTTTAATGGATCTTATTGTGTTAGATTTGGTGCTTTGAGCTCTAGCCACGAAATAGCTTTGATATTCAGTTGAGCAGCTGAAGCAGACGCAAGCACCATATTCAGTGCAGTGGGAGACGTTCAACGAAGCGAACATAATATCTGCAACGAGCGTAATGCAAGCGCTCACGGAGGAATTTCGACGAAATATGCGATCTTTACATTTTGGGCAAAATTCATGAGGACGTGTATTTGTAGGCTCGTAACTCGGCGAATTTCACAGACTGGAGCCTGAGTAATACACCATTCGATAGCACAGTTCTTAGTAACTTTGACTGAGAAAAGCAAGCAGGCAAGGTTTCTGACAGATACGCGAGAAGTGCGGCCAAAGTTACGTACTTTCGTGATGAAGTTACAGTCACCTCACCGTATCTCTCCAAAAAGACCCTGTAATCCTCAAAGACTACGATTTTCGTAAAGAGCGTATTCGAAAACCTCTATAAGCGAAGTTTCCTTACAATTCAAGAGCATCAACATTTTGACCAAAATCCATCGGCGCGCTTCCGGAGCGTAAAGCGAGAAAAATGAAATGACCCGAACATATCGGAAAACTTGCTCGTAGAGGTTACGCGACTTGCTGATTTCGAAACTCACATCTGCTTAGCAAGATAGCTTCGTATCCTGCGGATATGACGAATAGAATTTGGGACGACAAGATTTTTCCACAATTCACCAGCCCTTCTATTTCCTTTAAAAAGAAACCTGCAGCTACTATTTAGCACATTATAATCTACAGAAAAAGTGCTATCGAAAGATCCTTGCTGAAATGTACTCGGGACAATGTTCGCTGCATTACACCTTCGCGAAAAGACGTCCTCAGAAAGATTCAAGAATACTGAAATCGAAATACCAAGGACATGCTGTATATAGGAAGATTCGACTTGATGAGCTGAGCAAGGCGCAGTTTTCGGATTCAAAATATACTTATTCCGAAGGAAGTTATGGCGAGTAGAATTTAGAAACGCGTGATTTTTCCAAAATTCACCAACGCTTTCACCTCCTTTGGAAAGAAGTCTGAGCCTATTTTTTAGCGCACAATAATTTCCAAGAACAGTATTATCGAATGGTACTTAGTAAAGTCTTCTATGTTGGGTAGGCGTTGCTTCACATACTCGCGAAAAGACCTCCGCAGAACAAATTGAAAAAACTGGAAACGGAATATCGAAAACATCGTACCCCCACTTCCAATATATATACTTCCAATATATATTCTCCGCGCCGAGCTGAATCGAACGGTGGCCTTGGATTCAGAATTCGTCCACTCTGAAGCGAGATATGGCCACGCGACGCTGATGTATGGACATGTCCGTACATTCGCGTCTTTTTTTCAAAAAATGTGAGCGGTATTGTACTTTCTAATGCAGTTAAAGTCATGCGAAATTGTGGTATTAAGAAGTCACGACTTTTTGAAAATGCGACAGAACTTTTGGACCAACCTAATATATGGCAGGAGGTTGCTGTCAGCTATCAAAAGTCGAATCAATATAATCCTAATTGCTAGAGCTTTCAGGGATAGGTCATTTTTATTCCTTGTTTCAAAATTCTATTTAGCAATGATCAAAAATTACAGAGTTTTTAATCATGGCTCTGTGCATTCTATCCAAATGAATAGCAAATAATTTTAGGTTCGAAATTGATTGCGCGCATCGATCGTTTGAATAGTTACGGTCATTGAAACGCATATATACAATACTATGAAATATCCAAACGCGCTATGGAGAGCGTTCAGAAAACAAGCACAGACGTTTTATTTTAGAGAATTGGATTTGGTTCCAAAGGAGCCGAAATTAAGACATATTCGCTTTGTGAAAATATCGAAATTCACAAATGACTCGAATTTCAAGAGTTACTGGTAACTCCGATACTGCTCTGCGGCGATACGAACATCCCACTGCTTCCAAAATAAAAACTCAAACATTCAGTGTATCTCAATTTACTCTCGTCACAAAAAATGCTGAAACTGCCAAAATGGGAATACAGCGAATCCCAGAGTGCAAAAGCACAATTTCAAATTGTGAGCTAAGAAGGAAGATTTTATTATCTTATCAAATCATAGACCATAATGTGTAGAAGTTTGGAGATGCACAAAAAGATGTTTTCAAATTTTTGTTCAGCTTTTCATGTTTATCTACATTTTCGTGCTAATGAATTACTTGTGGGAGAACTTGTATAATACATGATGTACGAATCATCTAAGTAATACATTACATCTTACACGTGCAAAAGCCCGCATTGCATAAAATGCAACGAAAAAGCAGGGTGGGGGTGCAGGAGCAATTAAGATTGCGCCATATATCCGCCGGAAACAATTAATGCCGAGAAACAGTTTGGCGATGATCCAGCAATTATCTGCGGAAGACCCCTTACACCTAACAGTGATGCTGATAACTGAATATCAGCAAAGTATAAGAACTAGATTTGGAATTAGCAGTCTGTTGCGGTCTGGATATGCCAAAGTCCAATAAGATGCATTTCTTTGAATGAGGGTATGCAAGCATTTTTTGATTATGTAAAACGGAGCTCTCACATCACAACTCGAGCCAGAATTTGAGATGCAAGTCCACTCTCAGCAAATATGGTTTATTATGACCTTTGACGACTGGCTTGGCGGCTAGAGGGCGGGGCTTTGTGACCTATGCAAGGCCGCTCGCATCCGCGACGCAGTCTGCGTCTCTCCCGCGCGCGTGCTCTCTGGTTTCTACGTAGCTTTGATTACGTCACGAAGCCCAGCCTACTAACCACCAAGCCAGTAGAATCAAAGGGCAAGCTTTTCTGTAAGGCTACCTCAAAGATTCACATCCGTCTATCCTCACTTGATACATTTTGTGCAAATCACAAACAGAATTCGCAGCGAGCATCCAGCAGCGTGTAAAATTGCGCTTCCTCACAACTATCAACTAAATTCTGCTTTTTTGCCGCTGAAACTTTGGTTGAAGAGAGTTGCATGAATCAAGTATCGCTGGGCGTTCCAGGCCATTGAAACAGTTCTGCATATTTATTTCAGAGAATGCTACAGAGGCAACAGGTTCCTTTCTTGTACTCAATTAGTTTAGAGAAAATCTTTACAGTACGATTACTAATAAAGTCTCCTCCTGACAATGTGATATCCAAAATTTTTACGCTAAGCATCCTGAGCTCATTAAACCTACTAATTTGATACCATTACGAATGTGCAGACATGGCAATAGCAAGGGGGAGTTTATACAAAAGTTATCTGTACATAGCTATAGAAGATATATTCTGTTCGAACAGTACAAGTTTTTCTTCGTTTTTTTCCTTCAGGCCATTTTTTTTGATCGCATTAGAGTTCCGAGTACCATATCCAATAGAACACATTGAATAGCACGAATAATGCCGGAAACAGCAACCCTGAAAAATATCAACATTTCGTCGAGTCATTCGTAACTTAGTTTGCGTAGTGCACACTTTACACGTTAACTGACGAACTGCGAAACTAGAACCTGCTCATTTCCTGTGATTTCTCCTTGTTTCCTTGTTTCTTTTCTTTTTGTTGGTTATATGTTAGTCAGTAGAACACATTTCTACATTATATGATGCTAGAAAATGTTTTACTGGGAAGTTACTAGTGTGGGTGCCGTCACTAATAGGGCTTAGTGTGCAATCTCACATATTAAGTTACAAATGACTCGAGGTTACCAGCTGTCCATTTGATTTGAAGTGATGATAACTTACGCGATCTCAGATCAATCATTTTTGGGGGATCCGCCCCAACTTTCCATTTTTGCCACCAATTCAGTAGAGGTAACTCATTGAGTCCAGCAGCTTTTACTTTCAAAATCTTCCGCATTTCGTGTTTGCTCGTTCCCCAGCTGTCTTTGCGTGAGGAGGCATGCTGAAATTTGTTAGACATTTTTTCAAATCAGCTGAACTGTAATCACACTCACTGAAATCCTATTATCGGGTTCAAGTTCAGCCTTGTGTTCTTGTGGTCCGCCTGAAAAGCTATCTGTTTTCCTACACAACAAAGAACAGATTACGTACAATGCTTGCTATATTTCGGCAAACCAGCTTGGTACGATACAAAAGCATATTCAAGCACAGTAGCAAAGATGAATGCCAAACAAGCACCAATCCAAACATCTACAGCTTTGATATAGGAAACAGCTGGAAGGTTGCTGTTGATCCCTATGGCCTTAAATAACTGTATAGCAATTACATTTATTAAAATAAATAGAAAGGAATCGAAACTGACCGTAGTAGTCATGGTTAAGAGTGTTGTAACCCCTAGTGTAACCCTGGCAGGAACAGCATCTCTATCTAACCAGAATGATACCCAAGAAACGATGACTAGGAGTGTGGAAGGTAGATAAATTTGAGCAAAGTAATAACTGTAAAACTTCAAGCGGTATTTGCAGCTTACAAGTTTTGTTGGATCTTATTACTTGCCTAAACATTCTCTTTAACACGAAAACAGCCTGTATGCACGAATATTCTCCTGTTGCTGTTGTACTAGTGCAGGTAGAGATCTCAGCTGGCTCCACAGAAAAATTTGGCAGTGAAGTGTTCAGTAACGGATGTAATTGGATAGGATCCTCGCTCTTCCACCGATAAACTCAAATGAATCAATCAGAAGAAGAAATACCGCTAATTTAGCTAAGAAGTTTTCCTCAAAGAATATTTGTAAATATGAATAAATCTTGCAAGAGTATCATCGACCGATCGATGATTCCTGATACCCGTGCCATATGACGTCATAGCCGAGCGGGCGGGCCATGTCTGCCATGCGTCCACCTGGGAGGTCTCACCTCACTCTTGATCACACGTTGACCATCCAAGTTCACAATCTCACGCTCTCGGTTACCCGTTACCCTGTAATCCCAATAAGCCACTGAACCACCATTCTTGTTGTCTATTTCACAGTATTACATTGCATACCGAGGAAAAACCCCTCGAAGAGTTTACACCCGCTAATAAAGAATCCAATTTTTCGAAGCATTGAAACTCATATTTTCCCTTTGATATTTTAATGCTAGCTAATATATAACCTTTTCAACTGGCTTGGCACCATTAGGGAGGGGTTTTGTGATCTAACTGAGGCCGCTCGCGCCCGCGACGCACCTGCGTCTCTCTCGCGCGAGTGCTCTCTGATCATTACCAGCCTTAATTAGGTCACGAAGCCCCGCCTTTGCCGATGCCAAGCCAGTTGAATCAAAAGGTACCTAGATTCCACAACGATACTTTATTTCACGCTTCGGAATATTAATTGGAGTCTGGCACAGTTGCCAGCTTTACTTATGAGAATCATCTTCGTTTGGTTATCGTGATACTTTACCTATATCATCAGTTGTGTAGGCGTACGATGCCAAATACAGGCCACACATCTGTTCGTCCATTGGGTACTTCTGAAAAAATGAAGTAAAAGAATAACTTTCAGAACTAATCAAAACATACCTGTAAATGCATAGCGCAAGACAAGGTGAGAGATATACGCTCCGAATAGAGAACATCACCGTTCGAATGAATCCTTATCATAACATTAAGTTTGTCTATAGTATGGCGATGAGCATTCTTCTCGTTCTAAAATAAGTAGATGTTAAAAAGATAAAGTGAGATATGGTATTTTAGCGTACCATGAAAAATGTATCTGGGGTCCAAATAAGGTGAGGTTCTGTGATCACCAAAAATTTCGGTATAATCCTGTCGGGAAACATTTTCGTATACGCTAATCTCGGATCTTGCCAGAATTGACGAAAAGTCAGCTGTAGTGTGTACTCCATCCGAACGAAGTCGATGTTTGACATACTGGAATTCAGAACAGATAAGTTGATAGACACATAACATATCAGTTCGAGAAGCTGCCTCCCCCCCCCCTTTCCACAAGATTGATCAACAGAATTCATGAAAGGGGTCTGTATGAATAGAATTTATTGTTACTTGCGAGTAATCGTAATTTTTGAATTTATGACTGTTCAAATAGTCCTAATGAAATATATTCTTTGAAGCTTAGCACAAAGCCTTTTTTTGAAATTGTTAAGGATTCAGAGAGATTCTAGAAGGTCCAAACAAGAATTTTCAAAGCACGACATGAAAGCACGACATGCCCGTCTTAAGAAGTCTCTTTGTGTTTTCCTAAAAACCCGCGGACTTTGTTGAAACTTTGCTTATACCCTAAAATCCCATAGATAAGAGCGGTTTAATTTACCGGTAAAAAATGAATTGGAAAATTGAAATTGAATGCAGTCACCCCCCTAACTTGATGGATGGATCAATAAAGATCGGAAAAGAAGTTTAGAAGAAGCTCCACCCCTCAACTCTAAACCCCTCCCACTTAATAAACAATTCATATAGAAAAATAGCGATTTTAACGGAATTTCGGAATTTCTATATGAATTGCTTATTAAGTGGGCGGGGTTTAGAGTTGAGGGGCGGAGCTTCTTCTAAACTTCTTCTCCGATTTTTATTTATCCATCCATTAAATTAGGGGGGTGACTGCATTCAATTTCAATTTTCCAATTCATTTTTTACCGGTAAATTAAACCGCTCTTATCTATGGGAACTTAGGGTAATTTAGAAGATACAGCTTAGCTTATTCTCCATCTGTTATGAGTAGCTCACCTACGCACGTAGCACTGAACGTCGACTTTTGCGGGCAAATCCTTTCCTGAAAGCTCACATTTTACTTCTATGTTTTCAGCACTGACTGCAAAAGTCTGGTATATGTGTAGCTCACCCATATCATCGACAATAGGAGGACGTATCAGTGTATCATAGCTATGAGAGAGAATTTTCTGTATTACCTCGTCGGATTTGACTTTCTCATTTTCTCTGTAAAAATCATAGCCTATGTGTATTACAAAAATTACATGTAGTTAAAAGTAGCATAATTCTTGAAAAATTACGATCTAGAAGTTTTAGAGTGCTAGCAACAATTAATCAGCTCAAAAGTTTCGATAATGTGATATTAGCATAGAAAACTTACAGCGTAATGTTATAATCTTCGATCCCATCCACAAGGCTCACACTAACGAACCTAGAACAACCTTTGTTTTCTTTCTCTGACCAAAAAGTTGGGAAAAGCAGCGGATTCAAAGTGGGGCCTGGGTTAAGGCGCGGGAGTGGTAGGAATTGGACTATCACTTATAAATGAATGCAGTAACATAGTCATATTTCTTCTGATGTTGGGTCGGTGCAAAAGCTACAACCCTTCGTTCTCACATGTGCAATCTTCGCGAATTTCCCAAAATTTTTATTTGAGAGTTTTCTGCCAACTGAAGCAATTTTTCTTCCTTTTTCAGCTATTTTTTTTCAAAATTTTGCTGAATAATTTTCCAAAAGTCTTGTGTGCTGAATCGCATAATCAGTTAGTGCTTCAGACACTCAGTATCTTCAGAACACTGAGGTTTTACATTATTATAACTATTACTGACCTTACAAAGTAATTTTTGCTTTCGGAACGTCAGCAAGCACTAAAAGAGAAACACGCAATTTTCTGCTTAAATTTTGCATATCTCGCCAAGAAAGGACAACTACTAGAAAGAGGGAAAAAGTTGATCGAATGATACCTGAACCATTTCAGGCTCCACGAAGTTAAATAAGTCAAATATATTTAGTCACTTTACACATATTTAAGAAATTCTAAAAAAACATGCACAGCGCTAAAAAAATCGCTTCGGTTGGCAAAATGTTTGGCCTATCCGCTGGCTGTAAAGCTCTCCTCAAAGTTTTCAGATACATAGTCTAAAAGAATTAGCAAAAGTGAGAATTTTGAACATGAAGGGTTGTTTTGTTCAATGATTGTCTCAGCACTTTCTCTATAAATTACATTGTCGACGTGTCAGCTGGGAAGAGAAAGAAATTCTGCATCGGACACAGCTTAAAGGCAGTGTCCGGGCAAAAACTCGATTTTGAGATTTTGTGCTTACTTGGGCCTATTCGCTACGCTGAATCCGAAAATGCACATTGTAGAGCGCTAAAATGGCGAAAAATGGCTTTAACACAGGAGGGAAATAAGCAGGTGGGCGGGGCCCTCCCCACTGCAAATTCACGTTCCCGGCTTCCGGAGCGACCTTCTCGCTTCCGGTTTCAAGCCAATCATTCGCACTTGACCGGTAGCGATGTTAGGACGGCTAGCGGAATCGAGAAAATCGCTCCGGGAGCCGGGAGCGTGAAATCGCACTGGGGAAAGCCCCGCCCACCTGCTAATTTCCCTCCTGTGTGGGCCCTTTTTCGCCGTTTTCGCGCTTTCTAATATGGATTTTCGGATTCAGCACGGCGAATAGGCCCGTATAAGCACAAAATCTCAAAATCGAGTTTTTGCCCGGACACTGCCTTTAAGGTCTTTGTTTATCTTTACTGTACGACATCTGCGAATCATTTCAAGAAACAAACAAAACTTTTGAACCGACCTTATTATTCTTCTTTTGCATTTTCTGACACCATCCCTACCATTTTGACTACTCATACATTAAGAGCAACAGTAGCAAATTTTCTTGCAAGAAATTACAAAGTTTTTATGGTATCGCGACTGAGGATGTGGGAAAGGTTAAGTAGGCCAGTACAAAAGACTTACATCAAACAATAAGTAGATATGACAACATTAATCTCAAACATTCTTCGTAGTAGCTGCTGAAAACAACTAGGTACTGTGACCGTTATGATCTTCTGCTAAAAATAAACTAGGTGAAGCAGCTGAGTTACAGAAAAGCGGACTGGTTGAAAAATTAGCTTCTACTTCTATCCACACAGATATGAACCTATTCCAATAATTCTCTTCTGTCATGCGGACCCTCCCGTGTTCCATAGCAGAACCGATTCGAAGGCGAAGAATAGGTTTAAGCAAGGGAGACAAGCTTTTCCTTACTTTTTCTCTTATCCGCTGCCACCTTTCCTTTGAGTTCGCCACTACCATAGTCGGTAAGTGACTTTAGATTAATAAGTGAGCAATGTCTATTCGGCGGGTTCCGTGCTGCTTACTTGCTAAGGGTTGATTCATTAGTTGCCTTTTCACTACAATTTAGAAGATTTCTATAGCAGGCATTCTCACAAAGTGTTATTTTCTGTATGACGTAATCGACATAGTACGACCAAGTAATGGAATCATATTGTGAGAGCCTTTGTGAATGAGAAAAACCTAAGATAATGGAAGTGACTAGAAGTATCTGCTGAGTATGTCTTCGAGGATTAAGTTTTGCCAACATTACAAGTGTTCAGCGCACGTGTACTAGTATGCGGAAGACAGGTGTTAGAATAATATTTACGCAGGGTAAGACGTAACAGCTACATAGTTTCATATAAACATGCCAGTAACTACATTGTTTATGTCTTATGATTCTGATGTCTGACAATTCAGCTTTCAAGAATGGCATATTCATTGATTAACCCTTCTTAAAGTCAGATTTTCAGTTTGGACAACGAAGCAAGATATCCGCGAATGTGTAGATAGATTTGGTGAAATGACAAAAATTGAAGATCTGAGTGGCAGTGAAAAAGGCAGTTTCTCGTATTTATGGGTGCACCGGAGGAGACACATGCCGATAAATCTTCGTCATCAGATCTGATTTTGAAAATGGTTATTGGTTTTTGAAGCTTGGCTCCTGATGCTTCGTAGGCAATTTCATAAAAAAAAAAATTCGTATGACACTTGTGTTGCTAACTACACATCTTTTATGGAAAATTGAGCTAACTTCTATGCCTGACTCTTGGTTACGGTAGATTTTTGTATCTCAGTACAGCATCCTTTCTCGGCCATGCTGGCTGGAATTTTGCTTAGTTGTCTTTGGAGGTGGTGCAGGATTAACCAAAGACTATGCGCTTCTATCCGTAGGTGACAACTGAAAGCAGGAGCAACATGACGAAGATTTGGCAACTATCCAACAACTTTTCAATGATATCTATGTGGAACTCATAACTCTGTTTGAAAAGGATCTGGAGCTATTTTCAAGACAGATATGAATCAGCTTGGAAGGTGCATTCACTAAACATAACAATCAAGATTTCGTGGAGGTACAATAATTCAAACGCCTTTCATTTTAAAAACCTGTACTGGCTTCAACTTTACTTTTGACGATTTCATCAGTAATCTGTGATCCTTCTGAGGATGGCGGAACAAACTAAATTGACGAAGAAGTTCAACTGGAACACGTTCAAAATTTCCAATACCTGATCATCACCCATTCGAAACTTAGAAGACTGTTCCAAAACATGCGATTCTCCTCAACCTTTCAAGGTGTTTCACAATTACTGAAGTGCTGCTCAACTTCCAATAGGTCGATTGTAAAAATTTTTTCCTGTTATGGGGGAGTAAGAATGGAAGAGCGTTGTTTATCCATTCCCAATTGCATCCCGACAAAAGCGCATTCCAAATCGTTCTCACAAATTTTCCAAGATTCTTCAAGTAGAGATATGTGGATTGGGTTTTACGTAGTCGTCTTGCGAAGTTCTTGGGTAGCTGCCAATTCTTTTCCACGTTGGTCGCGCTCTTGATTGTCTTTTGCGGATACATGCCGCAAGGCCTCTGGTTCCTCTTCCACCGCCGCTCTCGTATTGTGCCAGTTGATAGGATACGTACGATGCAGCGGCGTACCCAGGCCTCTCGTTGGGGGGGGGAGGAGGAGGAAAGAGCGATAAAAACTTTTCCGAATGAAGGTGCGTGGCTGACGCCACGTGCTTCAAAAATTTTTTGGAGTGCTTCTGAAGATTTTTATGGCCCGTGACCGCGAAATTTCAAAAAAGGGAACGCCCACTGAAGATTTTTACAATACCAATTGAATTTTCATATATTACAAAAATGTGCAGCGCTGTTCTGCCAACCAGATTGTTATGGTGGGTATATCGTCTCCTTCGGAGTCCTGAAAGGGGATTGCAGTTCTACACGACCAAACGTCTCATCAGACTTCCCTCGTTTGAACCTCTTTGAGACGCACCCTGCCAACATTCAACAATTTGTACAGCAATTGCGGGGGTTAAGTTTTGAACCTGGTAATATTGTCGAGTCTTAGCGTAACGTCACGATACACCAATGAAAACAATGCCGCTTTACAAGGTCTATCGAGGTTTTGGACAAATATTATTTCACCTTGCTAACCTCCTTCGGCTTGAGCAAAGAGTGCATGCTGCTCCTTATTATGGAATGTTTAAATTGTGACATTTTTGAACGCTCTGAGAATTACTATCCTCAGACTAGAGGGTTTGCGATGGGCCAAAGACTCGTCCCAGTTTTCGCGATTCGTTACATGAGCAAGATTGAGGAGCCAGTACTAGTGCGATTGCGTTATACTGCCGCTACATCGATGACTGCTGCATCGTCACATCCACAATCTAAAATGGATGAATGCTTTTAGAATTTTAAACGTGCATCGCAGTACATCGAGCTTACACGAGAAACCCCGCGCAGAGGTTAGCTTTCCTTTTTGAAAACCCAGATAAATCTAGCGACGGCGCTGTACAATTATATCCAAAAGCATATTGCCTACGCTACATTGCGCATACAGATCTCATACATTCTAACATCCGCAATATGTACAAGACCGCTGTAGAAGTGTGTACCGGCGAAAACGAACGAATTGAATCGTGACAGCTAGCACTCAGAAGCGCTCGCAGAAATGGTTACACAAAAACGCATTCTGTAAAAAGCGTACATCTAGACAACTCAATGACTGTGGCCTTGTGCGAAGCTAAAATAGTGAAAAGAGGATTCTTTTCTGTATGCCAATTGTCTCCGATAGTTTTAGTAAGGCAGTAAACTGATGCACAGTAGGAGCACAGCTAGAGGATGAGACAGTTTTGGTCAACATTCCTAATGACAACATCAAAGAGCGGTAGAGATGGAGTAAATTGTATGACGTGGAATGTATGTCAGAAGACTGCATCGTCTCTCCTTACGGGAACTAGGTGACTGCACAAAAAGGGCATTGTTTAGCAAATAGAGTGCTTAAATTGTGGTGCAACGTATATAGGAGAGACCGGAAGAACAAGTGATAAAATCAAGCACCTGGCTAACAAAAGACAGGAAACCTGTCATCTTGCTCAGGTAAAAATAAGATTAAAGCACATAATGGTAGCGAATTTGAAATGAAGTGTGCATTAGCGCAAGAGGTTAAGATATCGGCACGAAAAATGCTGGAGGCGGCATTAATCCACATCGAAAATCCGGGCACAGACAACAAAAATGAACGCGTGACTATAGCTGTATGCGACCGAAAACCGCTCAATATATAAGTTGACACATTGAGAAACTTCAGGGATGCCCTTCACTGCCTGCGGACTGCTGACACGGTTGACTAGAGCTTGATGGATCCATTTTGAATTCTTTTGCCACATTTCGTCTTTACGCGGTTCAAAGACGAAAGTACGATGAGGCGTGTCGTGTAGATCAGCAGATGATTTGACTGCGATCCCTTGTTAGAAGACGATATTTTAAAACGTAAGGTCAGCAGGGGTCTACCATAACAACCTGGTGGCAGAACAGAACGGCACTGATACAACAATGCCCAGATTACAAGATGAGAGTACATAGAAAATCTTAATTATTTTGATTTTTCATAGGTATAAACGAATCACTTGCACATTTTCATGACTTATTTAGGTATCTTAAAGGTGGTTTGGCAACCCATACACCACCTCCCCCCCCTACGCCATCGCTACGATCCACCGGTAGGTCACATCGTGAGTGTGTACAAATTGTTGGTAACAAGTACATGTTCCCAGAAACGCCTAAAAACTACATGTCATGCGGTCCATCAAATCTTCATCATAGTAAATTTGCTTATTGATGTTATGAATAAACTCCTACCAGTATTATGTACTGTACAACAGATATTCGGCGAGTAAGAAGCATTATTACTTCCAACGCGCAGTCTCTTTTAACCGGGCGAAGAAAAAGTGGTTTTTGCACCTGAGTGAAAAAATAAATGCGCGGGAGTAACTTTAGCACTAGAGATGAAATTAATATTTGTCATGGTCTTTGTCAAGTACAAAGTCTTTACGCGACCCAACAGCGTACAGATATAAACAATGGGAAACTTATCATCATGTAGAGCAAAGCATTCTGTTCAAAGCATTTGAAAGACCGTAATAATTTCAGATCTGCGTAAAAGTTGAAGGCAAAATCCAAAAAATTCAATTACATAAGAATCAGGTTTCAGATTGAAAAGATCCTGCGGCTCTTTACCTTGGTAACACATAAGCTCCCTCTATCAGATATCAGTGGCGTACCCAGGATTTCGGCTCGGGGGGGGCGCGACAAAAAAATTTTTCTAATGAAGGTGCGTGGCGTTAGCCACGCACTCCGAAACAATTTTTGGGGTGTTTCTAAAAAATTTTGGGAGTCCCCGACCCCTAGAATCTGGAAAAAGGGGGCGTGGCGTCAGCCACGCCCCCGAAAAAAATTTTTTTATAAGGCTAAAATGAATTTTTAAAAAATTTTAAAAATTATTTTAATTATTTACAAGTGCAAACAAGTCATTTGCACAATTTTATAACCCATGTAGGTAACTTTCAAAAATTTCGCGACCCGTTCTCGGGGGGGGGCGCGCGCCCCCCCCCGCCCCCCCCCCCTCGGTACGCCACTGTCAGATATTTATATGCACACTTGCCGCATTTTTACACTGCTGGGATTTAATAATGCAAGAATTATTGTCTTTCTCTGGGCTTTTATACTGAATCCGATATTTCGGAAAGTAGCCTTCGCAGAAAGCTGAAATTCGATGAATGTACCCAAAGGTATATAGTGCAGAATTACCTGTGTCAAAATGGCTTGGCATTGTTGGCCCCCAAACACATACCTTACAATATATTGCACGAAACTTCGCGAACTCATAACTCGGCTCAAAATGAAGCTAGAAGGCTCGATTTTTGCAGGCCTGCGACATGCAAACTACTTGCCATTGGCAATTTTTTGGGCCTCATCGCTTCACTCTGTGCCGATCCTAAAATCCTGGATTTTTTACGCTATAAGTTCCTGGATTTTGTACAACTCGTCTTCTAGAAAAGCTGCAGCGCTGAAAATCTAGAGCATTATTAATGCTAGGAGGTAACACTGCGTTTTATACTTATCGTGGAAAAATTAACGCTAATGTACATGAATGTTTGATGTGGGCATATATGTCTGATCAAATTGGAAGTCTGCTAGATGTTTTTAGTCAGAAATCGGATTTTTTGAACTCAAGTTTTTTTTATGTTGCTTTCAAACTTTTCCGCCATTCTAAGTCCCGCAAGAGTCAGCTCACAAAATGAAAATCACGAAAAAACGTAGTCTTACCCAAGAACTTAACCACGAGAGCTCGATTTTGTCTCGAACTTAGGGCTGAGTATATCACGCGATTTCATCGTCTTGGCTCTATTCGGAACAACAATGCCTTCCCGCGCAAAGCCACCTCTTTCTTCTCGATCTCCAATTTGTGAGGGGTTCTTGCTGGACTTAACCACGAATGTTTAAGTTTACTTGGATCAAATTTTTGCAATCGTTCTAATGCAGCTTGTAGAGGTCATTCTGTCCTATGTAATGACATGTTTTCCACATTTCTATATTTACACCGTGATCGCGTAAGAAATCTGTATTAATTTCCGGACAACCTAACATTATCCAAACTCTGAGCTTTGCTGCCAATTTAGTCACATTTGTTCCATCTGAGTTTTTTCTAGAAAACACCGCGACCCACATTTTTAAAATCATAAAATGTAGTGCATCGCTCGTCTTGAAACCATCAACAATTCTGTTTTTTGTTCTGAAAACATGCCTGAGGTAACACAGTCTTTGTATTTATGCCCTTGATACGATAGATGCAATACGACTACCAGTCAGCTCTGTTCCTAATTTTGTAGGAAGAAATTTTATTTTATGAGCCAAAAGTCGCTTTCTTAACACCCAATACAACTTCGAGCGTCTAGATGGGACAATACTAAAAAATGAGAGAAAGGTATCTGTACACTACCTTGCGATCCCGGCACTCGAGATCAAAATGGTTAAGCCAACAAAATGGCTTACTTAGGCTTTCAAACTTTTAGCATGCTCGAAAAGCGCTTTGCGACAAAGTGCCGCATCCTGCCGAGTCTTACATGTTTATTGGAAAATGAGTGGTTAGAGCATGAAAACCTTTTAATTTCTTAGATTTTAGTAAAAAACAATAAATTGTTAGAAGAACCCTGTGAACCGCCTTGAAGAGTGATCTATAATTTACGCAGGGGTCGAATATATAAGTGCGCAAAGTTTCAGCTCAATCGGTTCAACGACACCGACAAATAAACCGGAACCGGAAAGTTTATTTATAAATAGATAAGTCGCATATGGAATATATCTTCTGCGCGAACATTATATGCGTTCAGAGCTCCGAGTACCACACCCAGTAGAACACATTGAAAAGCACGAATAAAGCCGGGAACAATATACCTTAACATGTCGAATACTTAATTGTTCCCTGAGGTCATTCACTTACGTGATCTTAGGTCAATCATCTTCGGAGGATTTGCGTCAACTTTCCATTTCTGCCACCAATCCAGTAAGGGTAGGTCGTTGAGTTCAGCTGCTCTAGCTTTTATGAACTTTTGCACTTCGTGCTCGTCTATCCCCCAGTCGTCTTTGCGTGCTGAAACATTGCTGATTTTTGGTACAATTCGTAAATAAACTAAAAATTTGACAAACTGAGTCCTCATTATCAGGTTCACGCTCAGCTTCATGCTCTTGCAGTTTGCCTAAAACAAAACTTAATTTCATGCTAAAAAATAAACTACTTACGTTGCTTGCTGTACCTCGGCAAACCACCTTGATACGATACAAAAGCGTATTCGAGTACGATCGCAAAAATGAACGCCAAACAAACACCAAATCAAACATCCACAGCTTTGATGTAGGATACGGCTGGAAGGCTGCTATCAGTCCCGATGGCCTTTAACAACTGAATAAAATTACATTTACCATAAAATGATCTTGACAATGATAAGAGATCGAAACCCACCGCAATAGTCATGGTTAAAAGTGTTGTAACTCCCAGTGTGACCCTGGCATGAACAGCGTCTCTGTCTAACCAAAATGATACCCAAGAAACGATAACGAGCAGCGTGGAAGGTAAGTAGATTTGGGCAAAATAATAACTGAAATTGCTACAGATAGCTGATAGTGGACAGGTGTTTGGAGTAATAAATGCAGGTGTTCTGATTCAAAACATGGTCTAAAAATTATTTGAGGTACTGTACGGTTTTATGACTATTCTCTTTGATCTAACGGGACTGGCGAATGGGAGGCGACCGCTCACACTTGCGACGCAGTGTGCGTCTCTCTGGTCACCGGGCTCTCTGATCACTCCCTAGCCTTGATTAAGTTTCGAAGCTCCTCCTTCCAGCTGCCAATCTCGTTGAACCAAAAAATATCACTGATCTGGAGGTACTCATTTGTTAACCGAAATTGAAAACTCAAAAAATTCTGGATTTTCGACACTACGCTGGCGCAAAAGTTCTTCCTTTGTTTGGACCAGCCCGCAAATACCACAGAGTAAAATAAACAAATACAACTCCAGCTGTTATGTTGAGCAACTCCAGCTGTTATGTTCACGATGCAATTCATTCAACGAGCGTTAAAATAATCACCAAAGCTTATGACCCTATATACACAGCAAATAACGGCTGATTTTCAGTATTTTTTTCGACTTTTCGGAGATAGTGATCATCGAATTATGATAGCACAAACCTTTTGCAAGCTGATGCAGTTTTTCATCTTTGGCTTTCTCTGCAGGCTTTTCCTGAATAATTGTCCAAATGTTCAACTTTTGAGAAAGTTGCTTGACACGTAAATGCAAGATGTGCAGTACTTTAAGATCTCTATGATGTTTTACAAAACTCGACACTATTACCAACCATAAAAAGTAAAGAAGCGACTGTTGTTTTGAAATATGAAGACTTTGAATTTTAGGTTGCATCATTAAGTATCGTAATGGAAATGGAATGTAATGGAAATGTATTTTTTGCAAATCTCGCATCAACTTAAAGAGAAGATAGCCAGATAAGGAGAATATTCGCATCGAATAATAGTTAAACTGATTACCATTTCATGTTTTACGAGGTTACGGTAGGCCTAATATGAAACTTGACCACTATAGAAAATATATTTTAGTAATTCTGAAATGAAGCCAGAAACCTTAAAGTTGCATTAACTCGCAAAAGATTTGTCCTTATCAGCTAATTATCAAAGCTCATTGAGAGTCTCGAACGAAAATCCGAACATATCGGGAATAAAGGCTCGCAAGCTTTGGCGATTGCCTCAACTTTAGAAGAGTCTCATCGTGACGCAGCTGCTGGAGAGGAAAACAACAGTTTATTATATACAACCAAAATAGAAATAAAAAGAACATTAAAAACATGGAAACTTGCCTGAACATTCTTTTCAATGTAAAAACAGCTTGTATGCACGAATACTCTCCCGTAGCTGTTGTATCAGTGCACGTAAAAATTTCAGTTGGTTCCACAGGAAAATTTGGCAGCGAAGTATTCACAAACGAATGTAATAGGATGGGGTCTTCGGTTTTCCAGCGATAAACTTAAATAACTTGAATTAGCAAAAAAACGAATGACTGCTCTCTGGTAGGAAGTTCCGCAACCACATGCATAAACTGAGTCATGCAGAATAAGCTCGATCTTCCAATTACAGTTACGTGTGACGTTTCAAAACTACGCAACCTTTATATTCAGCTTTAAAAGAGAGGGAAAGAAGTCCTAGCGTGCTCCGCAAATATGTTTGTATCATATGATAGTATCATTTGGTTGTCCCATTAGTTTTTCATTTTTGAGTTTGCGCTGTGATAAGTCGTGCACTTCTCATTCTGAGAAGGCACCAGAATACCAATCGATAGAACAAAGCAAGCTCTTTAAGATAACATCTATGCTTTTGCACCAGCTTCGATCCCCCTCAAGTTCAAAACCAAAACATAAAAAATTTCGGATGCCCCAAAAATTGAAAATTTGTATATCTTCGTTCAAAAAATTCCTACAAATCTCTCACTCGCTCACGCATATACTTCACATCAGACATTCATATGTGCTGTTGCTGAAGTTTTTCACTGATTAGAAACCAAGAAAACGAAAATTTCGAAGCTTTTACCAAAGTGATGCTGTGCTGTTCTTACACTAACAGTTGTATACTACAAGCCTTTAAAAGCGCTACCGTAAATCTCTAGCTCTTTATGATCTCTAGTTACCGAGAAATGCTAGGTTAAGCGTAAAAAAACAAGAGTGAGAAAAGCTAAATTCGATATACTTGTACTTCTAAGAGCTTGAGTATACAAACATTAGTGCAAGAATAGCACAGCATCATTTTGGAAAAACATGAAATTTTTGTTTTCTCAATTTCTAGCCGATGAAAAATACGGCAACAGCACACATGAGTGTCTGATGTGAAGTGTATATGCGTGAGCGAGTGACAGGTTTGTAGCACTTTATTGAACGAAGATATGAAAAATTTTCAATTTTTGGGCATCCGAGTCTTTCAGATTTTGGTTTTAAACTTGAGGTGGATCGAAGTGCAAAAGCTTAACGTCATCTCATAGAGCTGCTTTGCTTTATTAAATAGTGTCCTAGTGCCTACTCAGAATAAGAAGTGCACGACTTATCACAGCCAGGGTCAAACGTGCTGATGCGATCCGGGACCCTTATTTACGACCCCTCCCCCTTGAAGGTACCCATCCGTACGACCCCCCCCTTCCCCCTCCCACCCTCACTCATTTACCCCTCTTACCTCCCCTGCCCACATTCCTCGCGGTAACCTGCATAAACGAATGTCAATCTCAAAAAACACCTGCGTGAGAACTTCAGTGAGGTTTCGGAAGCAGAATATCTAGGCCAATCCGTGCATCCATCATCTGTAGCACACAAACACACCTTTAATAATGTTGGAGATTCTGCAAGTTTTTTTGAATTTTCAGGCATACTTCAGGCCAGCAAATTCGATTCCCGTAGGCGACAGAAATTTTACGGAGAAAAAATGACATTCTTAAACTACAAAAGATGTTTTCGACTAAAAAGCTTACTTTCTACCTCTTCCACAGTTTATCCCGCGAAAAAAGCCGCTTGAGCTTAACTCTGACTGTAATCCGACCAAGTATTTTCCCGGCACATAATTGTACAAGTTTAACTCAACCCGTGACTCGACACTATTGTTACTGGCAATGCACTGGGGTTTTTGAATGCCCACCATTCATTCATAACTTCAAACCAGCACAGACAACTCAATACAGTGGGCTGAGAACACGCCGGTCAAAGATGTTACCTAGGGAGTGGTAGAAAGAAACCCCCCGGGGATGCTCTCCTGCCTATGGCAAGCGAGGGCACTGAAATCTGGTTATTTCGAGGGGACGGGTCAGTCCTCCATGTGTGGTGATGTTAAATTCTTTTGAGTTAAGGAGTTGCGTTGCTCGACGATCGATGTTGGAAGTTGAGAAAGAAAACCGACCGCTCGCTAGCAGGTAGGGTGACGTACGTGACTTCTGCAACGGAAGCTGCGGTATACATATGTATGCTAGCGAGAGAGCGAGGCAGCGCGCGAGAACTGGCGTTTCAAGACTCCTTCGCGCACCGTGAGCGGACTCCTTTAAGAAGTCGTGCAATCTGGGACACATGTTGTGAGTCCCAGATTAGGTCTGGGCTGACACAGTGGGAAGAGGCTCTTGAAGATATGGTGGAAGCCAAAAAGCCTACAATCAGTTTCCAAAACTCTGATGATGGCACCGATGTCCGATTTTGTAACATTAAGTTAAAAAGGTCTTCACCGCAGAATCTGACTGGCACACACAAAATGTACTAACGGATAATAACTTTAGGCAAACACAGAATTTTCTTATTTGTGCAATGCCAAGTTCCTTCTAACTTCATAACTCCTTCCTTTCACTTCATTAAGCTTTATTCAAGTTGTTTTTCTTCGTTACAAATGCTCCCAAAATTCCAATTGAATTTGTAATGTATCCTCAGTTAATCTCTTTTCAGACAGGGTACAGTTCTCCTGGTCATTTGCCACGACTATACCTTTTTGGCAGAAAAGAAAACATCGGGCTGAGCCGGGGATCGATCCCGGGACCTCTCGCACCCTAAGCGAGAATCATACCACTAGACCACTCAGCCACACAATGGTGATTGACGTCACTGCCTATCTCAGAGATATGCGCATCTCTTCGATGCAAGAAAAACCTTGCGCGGTGCGCCACGTCCCATCCATCTCGCTAGACGTGCATTATTGTGATCGCGTCTTGCGACCAAAGCAGAAGATTGGCTACGTCAGTCTTTCTTTCCTCGAAGTTAGCACCATGGTTATTTCGTGAGTTCTATTAGGTTGGCTCGAAAGTTCTGGGACATTGCATTCAGACAAAATTTTTGTTTGGATGTAAGCACTGATTGGGGCATATTGCATATCATTAGATAGAGGAAAGCAATCTCCACAGAACTATGGTATGCAGAAGCAACATCAATGTTTTCTTTGAAAATTCGGGCAAAAATTTCAAAGCGTAGGATTTTGACCTAACCCAGATCTCCAGCTTCTATGTGCGTTTTGAAATTCCCACATGTTCCAATTTATAGTACAAACATACTTATATGATTACAAGCACAGCTTGTGCGGAATTTGAGCTTAAACAGCAAGAAAAACGAGGTGATTGAAAAGTGGCAAACTCCGCACCCACTGGTCCTAGGCTCCTCCCATTTGCTTAGATATCAGCTATAGGCGAGGGAGAGTACAACTGCAAATTTTCGAGAAGGTACATGCATTGGCTTTCGAGAAATAGCAAATTTAGTCTGAAAATGTCCCAGAACTTTCGAGCCAACCTAATATATCGTCTGATGAAAGCTAAACAGCTGAAA